TATGCTTTACGCATCGAATTCTTCGTATGGGCTTCTGCTATTCTTTAGTAGTGGTTGTTAGCCATCCTGTTGTTCGGTTACCACCAATATTTTTCCCTCAGAAGACTGGTGAGCTGTATTGCTTGTATAGCGATTAATGGAAAAGGCGGATAATTTGTTTTAAAAAATTTTGCAGAGAGCTTATAAGATTTTAAACAGGTGTTTAATCTTGAGAAAAAACTTAATAATAGTAATGGCACTGGTTCTTTAGTAGTGTGTAAAAAACGAACAATTTTTACAATTTGCTAGACAAATTCTTTGGAATGCTCCTAATATTTTTATTTTTTCGAGTTACTGATTTTTATTTTATGCGTTGAAATTTTGTTCATTATTCGACTGTTACTTTGATTATGTTATTTCTATTGTTTGAGATTTTATTTTTACTGCGCCATGAGGAATATATCGACTGTAATGATGACTGATTGATAAATGATGTCGTAACTTGTCGTTTCTTCTGTGATTTGATGGCAAGTCTTTTCTTACTAGAATAAACGGCTTAACAAATAGTAGTTAGCTGCATATTATCAATAAATTTTCGTTATTAAGTAATATCTATTCTACTTTTTGAATCTCTTCAGTTTATTTTTGTCATAAGAATCAGAAACACAGGTATCACCGATGAAAAAACATCTGTCGTAGCAATCTATCCTCTCCTGCCTTATTATCCGTATATATTATTTAATTTTATCCATCAATGAACGTTAATTTTTCATAAGACCAGTGCTATGGGGCATCAAGGTTAATTGCTAATTTTGTTCAGGAGGGCTGGTTGCTTTAAGAAATAATCGCAACGGCATCTCCAAAACGGTGGATCGTTTGATGGGGAATGTTTCATGTTGTGTGAAACAGCCGTCGTCGAGCCAAAGGGAAAAAGGTTACTCTTACGAAGGAAGTCGGAATGGAAGAGGACATCAGGTAGACCTACTGAGAGTGCAACCGGTTCGTGTATGTCCTTCTTGTCCTTGTCCTTGGTTTCTCGTGCCAGACTGCATTTATTTTTGGCTTGCATAACTGTCAGTTATTTGTAGCTGGGAAATGTAGAATCTTCAGCTAAAAGATTATAAGTTATTGAATGCTTTTTTGTTTGGTATTATTTCTATGGAGTGTCGAATTACTATTTTACTAACCAGTATGAGCGTGAGTTATGGAATTTCATGAAGGATCAGCAATTCTTCTTTTTAATTTTGCGAAGAGTATTGTTATTGATGTTGAATAACTTTCTTCAGTTTTACTGTTGTGCATAATCTCCTTCCCTATTATTTTTGGGTGTCTGCAGTTTTTTGGTGGAAAAAGTAATCCGTTTTTTTTTTTTTTTTTTTTTTTTTTTTTTT